ATTAATTTTAACACTTATATCATATAGATATTTTAATTAGATAATTAATAAAATTAATGCTAGTTTTATTTTGTAAATATATTAATACTCTCTCTAATTGTTTTTAATATATTTAGTTTGATTTTTTAACTTTTTGAACATGAATTTCAGATAAAAATTTAACATAGTATATAAATGATAATTAAAAAAAAATTTGGTTCAAATTATAATACTTAACAACAATTTGATATAGAAAAAAATAACTTCTCAATTATTATTCATATAAGTTGTTGAATTTTTATTTGAAATTTATAACTAAAATGTTAAAAAGTCAAATTAAATATATTAAAAATGAAAAAAATAGTAATAAAAAGATATAATAAATATACTCATAACCTATAATTTAAAAAAATAGTAAAAAAATTTGTAAAAAATTAAAAAATAAGCCTAAACCTTTCACAACCCCAAATATTTATTGGATGTACATAGCACTCATCAACAACATTTGTTTATCAAATAATTCAAGTCTGGAGATTGTCAACAGGATTTATTTTGGACGTTACCATAAAACCACAATGTGGTTTCCTTCAATATTAATGCATCATTTCTCCTAATCCTATGGTGGTGACAGGCGTCTTAATTAGAGGCACGCAATCCCAGATTCCCAATCCACTTTTTATTTAATTAATGAGATGTTTTTGCAAGAGGAAATTTCGTGATGTAGGGCCCCAGTACTCATCTTGTCGTGTTTCAGTGATGGAACATTTCATGCAGCGTGGGCTCGACATTTAAGCTATCACTGGGCTCGTTTAAATTTTTTTTGGTAAATGGGTCTGGTTTAATTATAAGGGTTGAATGAGCCCAAATCATCTTGAGAGTGCCCACTAAAATCGGCTGGGGTTATCACCAGACGTCCAAAACTCCAAATGTTAAGATGACACAGATTATTTATAATATTTAAAAATATTAATATATATAATTTAATTTTAAAATATTAAATAATTATTATTTTATTAATTATTAATTATTTTATTAAGTATTAATTATTTTTATAATTAAATTAAATAAAATTAATGGTTTTAGTATCATAATAACTGTGTGACGTTAACATTTAGTCAGAGTGCCATAACAACAGCCACTAAAAATAGGCTCCTTTTATTGTTTGGCTTTGAAGGTAATAAATAGTAGTGGTTACACTGGCGTATTTCTTTAAGAAAATCATCAAAATATCAGTGATTTCTATGACTAATTAAAATAGGACAAATTCTGATGAATAATGGGATAACATTGTTATGATATCCGAAGTCAATAAGAGTTTTTTTTTTTTAATCTTAATTGTATAATGAGAGATAATCATCTTTCATCTTTTATCTCATCTCATTCGCATGTCATAGACTCAAACTCAATATCTTTTATTTTTAATGAAAAAAGATTACCACTAAATTATTTAGGTTCGTTAACAAAGTCAATAAGAAATTAAATCCTTATATTAAAAACATCTCAACAAGTTATAGCACTTCAAAACAACGTCTCCACATGTTATCTCAGTTCAAAACTTCTGAATATAAGATATTGAGATGATGTCTCGAATGCAATGAAATTTCTTTGGCCAAAATTTAATGTAACGTGATGACTCAT